GAGTTCAGGTCACACAGCAAGCAGACAGCAAGCTGAGATTTGAACTCAGGTAGTCTGGTTCTGTTGCTGTTAGCTTCTGCACTAGAACTCCTCATTGTACAAATCCCTGCTGCCTGAAAATGACTAAAAAGAGGTCTACACTGGTGTCCATTCATCTCAAAATGTCTGTCTGTGAGCACTGCTTCTTAGTTTTTTAAAAATCACCATTATGCTGGTAATCCCAGCACTTTGGGAGGCCCAGGTGGGTGGATCACAAGGTGAAGAGATCGAGACCATCCTGGCCAACATGGTGAAACCCCATCTCCACTAAAAATACAAAATTTAGTGGTGGCGCCTGCCTGTAGTCCCAGCTACTCAGGAGGCTGAGACAGGAGAATCACTTGAACCTGGGAGGCAGATGTTGCAGTGAGCCGAGATCACGTCACTGCACTCCAGCCTGGTGACAGAGTGAGATTCCATCTCAAAAAAAAAAAAAAAAAAAAAAATCACCATTACAAATTACAAATTATTCTTTTGGGTTAGGCCAGGCATCTCCTTGATGGAAGGGAGGAAAGTGAGATTTACCAAGTCCTTATCACTGCTCTAGGGATTTTCATAGATGCTACAATTTTTCATTTCACTCCTATAGCAACCTGTTATTATTACTGTTAGACTGGAGATGAAATGAAGACAGAAAAGTTAACTTTCATGTCCAACCTTCAAAGGCGGCAATCTGAACCAACACCCCTAGCTATATGATGTGTAGATGCTCTGTTCAAAATGCAGATGCTGCTGAAAATCCTGTACTATTTTACTTCTGAGTGAATTGGCCAAGGCCACACATAATCAACCACTTGATCTGGAGTCAGACTCCTGGTTTCAGGCTTAAGTTTCTCATTAGTGATGTGGCCTAGGCAAAGTTTTTTAACTTCTAAGATTTAGTGTTCCCATTTATAAAACATTCATATGAATACTACGTGAGGCATCCATGTAAAGACCCTAACAGAGCCTAAATTTAAGAGATGAAGATGGCAATGATGACCACAAGGAGTAATGACGGTTCCTAGCGGTACCCTTTGCTTGCCCTATGTTACTGCTAAAACCTGTACCACCTCTGTGCAGGGCACAAAAACATGCAGCTCAGTTCACTTGGAGAAATAACACCAGTAGTTTCCAAAGAGTGGTAGCATTCTTTGAAAATAAAGCTCAAAACAGGCAATCTAGTGTCTATGGTTGAAGAAAACCAGTCTCTGACCTCATTGCTAAATATGAGTAAAATGAGAAATCAGGCCCTGATCCAAGTCAGCACATTTTATAAGAAAATGAAGTGAAAGGCTGCAGGTTGGGAGATTAAGCTGAACTATCTTCTACAGAAGAGTTCCCAGCTCTTCATCCCAAGTACCCCTCCTGGAGAATGGCCGAGCTGACACAGTCTGTGGACTTGCTGGCTTGTTTGTTTGCTTTTTTGTTTGTTTGATCATCACACATTTTACACTTCCAAACCAGGATTTCCTATACGGCACTGATTTTCAGGTATACTGGTGTGCACAGGAGAAAAGAAAAAAAAAAAAAAAGGAGGCCAGGAGTGGTGGCTCATGGTTGTATACCCAGCACTTTGGGAGGCTGAGGCAGAGGATTGCTTGAGCCCAGGAGTTTGAGACCAGCCTGGATAACATAGGGAGACCCTCTATCTACAAAAAATAAAAATAAAAAAATTAGCCTGGCATGGTAGCACGTGCCTGTAGTCCTGGTTACTCAGGGGGCTGAGGTGGGAGAATTTCTTGAGTCTGGGAGGTTGAGGCTGCAGTGAGCCACGACTGCACCACTACACTCCAGCCTGGGCAACAAGAGTGAAACCCTATCTCAAAAAAAAAAGAAAACAAAACGAAGAAAAGAAAAAAGGGGGGCTGCAACTGTCAATCTGGCATCCAGAGAGCTGAGTTCATGAGACTGCTTCAGCCTTGCTGGGTTTCCATTTCCCTTATCTATAAAATGAGTGATCCAACAGATTCCTCACAGAGCTAATGATTTATGATTCTTATTGTTTAAGGACTACTTTGTGGCTTTCTAGAAATATAAATCATCAACATACTACATTGTATTTTGATGGCTCTTGAAAGTAGGCAGTGAGGGGTGGACATGAGTCAAGCCAGGGCAGAAGAAGTTTGGCATTTGTAGGTGAAGATGAATGTACTCAAAATCCTGCCCTAATTTTGGAAGGAAATGCTGCAAAATGGTAATTTATTTACTTATAATAGACAGCCAGATTGTCTAGCTATAATAGACAGCCAGATTAGCCTAGTTTGGGAATGTGTTAGCTGTTTAGGTTGTGGCTATGGTTGCTGAGGAAAAAAAAGGTCTAAAATGCTTTGGGGGAATCTAATTTGAAAGAAACAAATGGATTACATTTTCCTAATTTAGCAGGCAGTTAACTGTGACTCATCCTCCTCTCTCTGCTCATGTGATCGGGATAGTAAATACGATATTGACAAGAAAATCTAGCCCTCACGTCAGCAGATGCCAGCCCTCCTCAGACTGAAACTGCAGTGAAAATGTGCTTGTTTCCTGTTTTCTTTGCATAACCAAATTGCAGGGACCGTGCCAGTGTCTATTATTGTGTCCTACGTGAAAAGGGGCTGATTGCTAATTTCTAACTTATGAACTGCAAATATTATGGAGAACACTCATGCCTTCTATTTCCTGCTTTTACACAGGCCGGAGTCAAAATGAATAGAGATAAGTAATAGGTGCTTATCCTCCTCCAATTCCTGAGACAATCTGCTCACGCTCTTGAAAATCTCATCTTTCAAGGTTCCTTGTAGCAGCAAGAATACTGAGGAAAATAAGCACAAGTGCATAGCCCAGCTCTGCCTCTTACTATCTGTATGACTTTCGGGAATTTACTGACCCTCTTGTTGTCTAGTTTCCTCATACAAAATGAAGAGAAAAATATATTTATTTCATCCAATTGTTGAAACCAAATGGTAATATTTTTAAGGCATTTGTAAGCATTGTTATCTGTTGGGTAAACAGTCAAGAGATGGTAACTACCGGCATCACAGTTAGCATTCACTGGGGTGAGTTGTAACAGGGACAGCAATACAGCCATGTGCCCACCAACATAAGGGACAGAAATGAAAAGACGGATACTCACATAGTGAAAAACCACCCCGCTCCAGGCAAGGTGACAAGCAGAGTCTTTTATTGACTCAAAGGGAAAATGTGGAGTCATTTACTGTGTTTTGAACAAAGGGACTCCTTGAGATGTTGATGTTGCTGCGTTTGATCAATGAGTTGTAATGTTACACAGGCAGCAGGAATACATCTGTCTTGTGTTTGGTCCAATATTGAAGCACACCAGGGAGCTCCTCATAGCATGCTGGTGTGGTAGTTAAGCTCTTTGCATTATTTGTCTAATGAGAAAAGGAATGGGTTGTGAAGTTGCAATTTCCAAAAAGCACAAATAGTAAAATTGGAGAAGCCTCTCCTCTCTTCCCTTTTCCTTCCTCTCATCTTCATCTCAGTAAACCAAAAATATTTTTCCTGATAGCCTGTTATAAAGCTTGACTTCTGGATACTAATGATTTATGTTTGATCTCAAGAGTTTGAAAACTTCAAGAATCTTCTGATATAACTGTGATCTGAGAGACCAAAATAGATGCCCCTTTCTCAACTAAGATGGACCCTAGTTAAGGGAATGAAAGTTATCTATGAGCCAAGGGTTCAGGCTTGGCTGGCATGGTAACTTCCTAAATTCCTACAGCTACAAGAAAAAATGTATACCCTTGCTAAACTTCCTAACAATAGGAGCTATCAGGCAAAGTGTCAGAGCCTTCCTAACTCTGATTTACAACCCAGGTCACTGTAACTCTGATTGGATAGAGGACCAGTCTTACAAACATTCTTTCTTGATAAGCAACTGCAAACCTCAAGCCAGTTTCAGACAGCTTAATAGAGACTGCACACAAACTGTCTGTGTCCTATAGTTCACCTTTTGCTGTAAAGTTCCAAATTCCACCTCATTTTAATGCTGAAACCCCACCTCAAAGTGAACGTGGGATGTATATTACATGTATGTTTACCCATTGCACATGCGCTCGACTTCCTTCATAAATATGTACAGCTTTATCCCCAAACCTGCTCAATGTGTAGGATTCTATTGCATGATGCTGGACCTGGGAGGCATAAAACCCAACCTGCCCTTTCCCTGTTTGAAGAGAGAGCACCTTTGGTCCATGCTGAAGACCATCTCTTCCTGGTTTGCAGACTGATACCGCCAATAAAGCTCTCCTTTCTACTATTTAGCAATTCTAGGGATCTTTTGGAAGACAAAATGCAAATACCACTGGAAGAGGTAACACCCAAATCATAGTGTGAAAGGAACTTAAAGAAAATCTAATGCAATGCTTTTATTTTTTCCAACTTCAATAATAAACCCAAAAGGGCTGAGTAATTTGATTAAAGCTACACAATGAGATGGTGCCAGAGATGGAAGAAGATTCTAATTTTTCTGGCTCCCAGTCACATATTATTTCTTCTGCCCATTCAGAACCATCAACAGCTATGAATATCCTTGGGGAAGAAGAGCAAGATTAGCCATAACACTAGTTTTCAGACTTGGCATGGACCAGAGATGCTGTTCTCTTACTAGACACACATATTGTTCCTACGAGACTTTATTTCAAGAGTATTCTGTGATTTAAGATACATGGTTTCATGGCATTCTTGTACAGCCATGAAGATGCCCTGGTCATCAGTCTTTGCAGAAGAAAATAGAATGTGTTGCGACAAAAGGTGGAGAAAAAATCCAGGCTTCTCAGCTCTGGAGAGGGCAAGCTTAAAAGTTACCATGATGAGAGAGGCCTGCACAGTGAAAGCAGCATAAGACCCTTGGAAGTTTGGGAGCAGAGGAGAAGCTAAGAGGGAGGGGAATAACAGACCAAAAGGCCACAAAGACGTTTTTGGCCACATTTACATTGTAAATTTGAGTGTATTTCAGTCTGGATTCTTAATCAGTCTGGATTCTTGCAAGTTTGCAAGAGAAATGCACCTTGACTATTTTACATAAAAGGTAAGTGATTGTAAGTATGTCAGGAGCTCAGAGAATCAGCTGTAGGCTTGGAACCCGCAGGCATTAGGGGCAATGTGAGAGCCAGCCCTCAGGACCCACAGCAGGAGTGGGCAGCATTTCTACCCATCTCTAACATCTTTGTGTTACCTACTCATGATTCACAGTCCCAGAGGGGAGCACCGACTGGCCAAACAAGGTTGCACATTCACTTCCTGGCGGGGCAGCTTCCCTAGTCAGAGGCAAGCATTACCCTCTGCCAAGATAACATTTGGGGGCAAGAGCAATTTTCCAAAAGGAAATAGGTGCCATGGGCTATGGAGTTTGGATATGGGACAGATGAAAAGCAAAAAGCAGCTGGTAGGGACTCTGTCCCTGAGTCTAAGTGAGATTTAAAGCATAGAATATATGTAGAAAATTGATAAGGTGACCCCACCAGAGGAGTGTCCTCGGAGAGCTCATTAGGAGGAGAGAAAGATCCAGGCTCAATGAGATCTACCAGGGAACAAACGCACATCTTAGTCAGTGGACAGGAGGAAGATTCTGGATACAGAACGGCATTTGTCACGTGGCGTTGAGCCCTGGCCTGGTCCCCATGCACTGGTAGTTGAATCTCATGGACAGTAGAGGGACTGTAAATAAAAAGTGAAAGAGCTTTTTTACATTTTAAAAAACATTGAGACAGCTGTAGACATCAGGGCACCAGGGCACACAAAGCACTGCTGAGGTTAAGACAGGTGTGAGTTTCTCCTCTTGTGCCACAGACCACTGTATGATACACCTCCCTCTGGCAGAGGGGCCGACAGAGCACAGACAGCTCCCAGAAAGAGGAGATGTGTGGGAGCCCACGTGATCCACCCTCAGGGACCAAGACCCTGCTTATGAAGGGAGAAACACAAGCCACTGATTTCTAAATACTATCATCAGTGTGACCTCATTAGAATTCTCAGTCTGATGAGGAAAAATTCAATCCACTCTCTAAAGCAAACCCTGAAGAGAGATGAAAAGGGCAGACTAGCTGGAATATTCAGGACTCCCCCTTCTTACTCAATGAGTAATCCTGGGCAAGTTACAGAATGCCTTTGAGGTTCAGTTTCCTTGATTGTTAAACGGAAATCCTAATTCCATGGGTGATTGTGAAAAGTAAATGAGATGAGAGGTTAAACCCAGCCTAAGCATGTGGTAGTAGTACTCAATACATGGAAGATACACACCTGAATAATAGTCACCATAAAATGCTCATGATTCATTGGCTGCTTCCTCTGCACAGACACAGTGTGGTTCTAGCTCTGCAATCAGACATCCTGTGTTCAAATCCTGTACCTTCTCCTTAGTCGCTAGCTCTCTGAGTTCTCAGGGTCCACTTCTCTGGTATTACTCTCCTCCTGCAATTGTTGAGAAGATTAGCTGAGATAAAGGATGTAAAACACAGAACAATGCCTGTCACGTGCTAGGCTCTTAAGAAATGTGAGCTGTTATTGTTGCTATTGTTATCCTCAGTACACTCCTTCCAGTATTTGCCCAATTGGGTTAAAGTAACAAGCAGTGACTGAAGATGCTGACACCAGGGAGGAGTGGGAGGGAAGGGGGAGACAAAAGGAGCTCGGGGAGAGAGATAAGAGAAGAACTTTCCATGTTGATATTTGATCATGGAGGATGGGCTCCCAAGTCACAGTCATGCACCTGTTTTGGTTCTAACACTTTCTACCTAGAAGAGCTCTATTAATGTGATTTTTTTTCTAAATATGACTGATCTCAGGAGGAAAATACTCACTTAGTACTCTCTAGGTGTGAGGATTGCTCAATGAATATTATACTAGATATTCAGGCAGGACTTAAGGAAGGAGAGCCTGATTTTGGGTGATTCCAGTGCAATTATTAGTTAATGGATTAGAAGTGTATAGTGCTCAAGGAAAGTTATTCATATACTCAAGATACCCCCAAAGTGCCTGGCACTGAGCAAAAATCTTGAGAGAGAGATGTGAGGAAGAAAAACTCCAAAATATCAAAGGGCAAAGAAGCTTACAAATTGTTAAGATTACCAAACCCAACCACTTGCATATTTTCAGGCTCTTAGGTAATGAGTTAAGGAGGCATTTCGAATTAGACAAGTTAAAGAAGAGGAGAAAAAAGTTCCAGACAAAAGTTCCAGACAAAGGTAAAATTACTAAACATATAACAAATTCAAAATGGAGAACACACAAAAAAACATGTCATTTAGGAATACTTGGGTGTCTGTTGTCTTGAACATCTTTGAGATCAGTGAAACAGAGAGATTCAAGGAGACAGCAGGGCTCAAAATCAACACATCTCTATGAGCAGACTGATATTCAAAGAGGAATGGAGCAGAAGTCTTTGTTAATCATAATAAAGAATTTGCTGTATTCAAATGAAATAACAGCAAAGTGGAAGTATGCCAGGGCAATACCAGTTTTCCAAGCAGGAATAAAGAGAACACTAGGAAATTACAGAGCCTTCATCTCAATGTCTGTAATTTGCAAAATAATGGAAACAATAGCAGGGTAAGTTTGCCAAATGCATTTACAAACGAGTATCATTCCCTTTAATCAAGCTAGTGATAACCAACAAGGCTGGAGAGAGGCTTGAGGGTCTATGAATCTTTTTTACTTGATGGGACTACGACACAATTAATAATTACATGTGACTTATTTTAATGTAATGTCCAGGTAATTTTACATAGAAGTTACCTCTAATGTGCCTATTATGGATGGAAGAAAGTAAAATAAAAAGTAAAGAAAGAAACAAAAGTACTATGTGCTGTCTCCATTATATGGGATGTGCTACTATATATTCCTTTTTGCTTAAAATCCAACAGTGGCATAGCACTAAAAGGGAATTTAAGAGATCAAATAAACCATGCTCCTAGGATTGGATCAAAACCACTTAAGACATATGTATTTCACAGGGCAGGCTGTTCCCTGTAGTCTCTCAGAGCCCATTAACATGTTTAGCTACTCTTCCATAGAATATTCTTCCTTATTGAAACTTGGCTGCATTTTAAGCCCATTTCCCATTGTCTAGTCTTTGGTGAAGACATTAAACAGCCAGCGAGCATTCTCCTAATACTGGAAAACCTGCATTCAGTTCCTGCTGGCAGAGTCCATAGATTAAAGGATTTTACTATACTCCTTTTGCACGGATTTTGTACTAATTTATCTAATTTGAATACTTACCCCATGAGCACAAGGTGCCCTGAGCTTTGAGGAATTAGACGATCTGGTTCAAAGTGTGTCAGAACTGGGTTTAATGGTGTGAGAATGGGTAGGACTTCTAGACCTCTGGGCTGCTGATAGACATCTCTTTTAATTTATGATTTCTCAAATCGTTTTCCATGCCCAGTTAGTTCCACTTTGCAAGTTTCATTCCTTCCATGTCCATAGCAGATGTAAAACACCAGTGCCTGCCCTTCATTGTTTCTCTCCGTTCTTGATCCTTCACCTTGGAAAATGGCTTTCTTCATACTTGAGCAATTGAGGTCATTGGATTTAAAATTCCTAAGTTTTCCTTTCATACACACACACAAACCTTTTTCATCTATTTCCTTTCTTACAATTTCAGATGGAGATGTGCTCTTCTTGTTGTTGTAGATTAACGTCTCCAACCCTGGTCCAGAATGCATCCCTCTCCATCTCTTTACCCCTTCAGTTTTCCTTTCCACAGGCTGCTTCTTCTCGATGGACAAACATGTTCAAGACTCTAACTTCTAAAACCATCCCCCCAATCCCAGTGTCCCCTTCTAGCTACTGACCTTTCTCTCCGCATGACTTCAAAGACAATTTTCTTAATGGAACAACCTCTACTCATAACTCAGCTTCTTCACTTCCAACCCTGTAACTGGCCTCTCTTTCCTGACAATGCAGGTAAAGTTACCCTGGTAAAGATTTGCTGCAATTTCCTAACTGCCAAATCCTTATATAACCTCTTTTTAGTCACTCTGTAGCAACTGATACTTCAGACGACTTTCTCTTTGAAACTCTCCGAAAAGGGAATGCTTACACACTGTTGGTGGGAGTATAAGTTAGTCCAACCATTGTGGAAAGCAATGTGGCAATTCCTCAAACAGCTAAAAACAGAACTGCCATTCGACCCAGCAATCCCATTACTGTGTATCTACCTATTGGGTATATACCCATTCTACCATAAAGACACATGCACACAAGTGTTCACTGCAGCTCTATTCACTATAGCAAAAACATGGACTCAACCTAAATGCCCATCAATGACAGATTGGATAAAGAAAATGTAATACATATATGCCATGGAATACTATGCAACCATAAAAAAGAGTAAGATCATGTCTTTTGTGGGAACATGGATGGAGCTGGAGGCCATCATTTTTAGCAAGTTAACACAGGAACAGAAAACCAGATACTGCATGTTCTCACTTATAAGGGGGAGTTAAATGATGAGAACTCATGGACACAAAGAGGAAACACTGGGGCCTACTTGAGGGATGGAGGGCAGAAGGAGGAAGAGGATCAGAAAAAAATAACTATTGGGTATTAAATCTAGTACTTGAGTGACAAAATTGAAAGACTTTCTCCGGGGCCTGGAAGCTGGGCAGGGGGTGAATAACTCTTCCCTTCTCAGGCTCAGTCTCAAGGCTCAAGACCACTTGTGCCAGCAGCGTGTGTCAGCAAGATAGCAGAAGCAGGAAGAGAGCTGGCTGGAAGACACATACCCCGTGAAGACCGAGAGAGAAGCCATCCGGGTACTGCGTAGCAGTTACATCAGACTGAGACACTTCCTGTTTACAGGAGACTATAAAGCCCCTGCCCTGTCCTCATTGGGTGCTGATGCCATTTTAGGCCTCAGCCCGTCTACACCCAGGCACTCATTAAAACAGTGTGTTGCTCCACGCCGTCTTGTGTTGTCTCTTGGCGCACTCTCAGGGTTCGAACCCATACAAAAGCCTTGCATCATACTATCTCCCTTTTGCCCTCATGAGACGCTGCGCAACACCAAAGGCACCCTCTTTTCATAGTCCCTTTGAAATCACGTATGGCCGAACTTTTGTCTCGGGGCCTCCACCCTTACCAGACTCTGAGCCACTCGGGAATTATCTCCCCTCCTTAATCCAGACAATGTCTTTCATTCTTGAAGCAGGAAATGAGGCCATGCCCCTTCCTGTCAACATCTCTTTGTCCTCTCAACATAACTGTCTTGCAGGCACAGATGTGTTTATCTGCCAACTCGACCCTCACAAAAACCTACAACCGAAGTGGACAGGCCCCGTACACTGTGATACTCAGCACGCCAACTGCAGTGAGAGTCCAAGGACTCCCCCACTGGACCCATTGCACCAGGATCAAGCTCACCCCCAAGGCTACTCCTTCCTCCAAAACATTAACAGCGGGCAACACCCTCAGAGTCCCTGTATATAATAACCTAAACAACAACAACAACAAAAAAACGATCCTTAAAGGTAGGAGGAAGCCAAAGATGGCAACAGGACAAATGGCCTCCACAACAGATCATGGAGTATTACAGTCCTGCCACTTGGGCTGAGGATGGTTCACGGGGTTATCGGACTCCCATATATATGCTAAATAGAATAATAAGACTACAGGCGGCTCTAGAGATAATCACTAACCAAACCGCCTCAGCCCTGGAAATGCTCGCGCAACAACAAAACTAAACGAGCACAGCAATTTATCAAAACAGGCTAGCACTAGACTACTTATTAGCAGAAGGTGGGGTCTGTGGTAAGTTTAATATATCCAATTGTTGTCTTAACATAGACGATAACAGAAAAGCAGTACTAGAAATCCCTTCAAACATCAGAAAAGTAGCCCACGTACCAGCCTAAAGCTGGAAGGGATGGGACCCAATAAACCTTCTAGGAGGGTGGTTCTCTAATTTAGGAGGATTTAAAACACTGGAAGGAAGAGTAATCTTCATCACTGGGTTCCTCCTATTTCTCCCCCGTGTTATCTCACTAATAATAAAAGCTATTAAAAGTCTTGTTGAAACTACGGTTAACCGCCAGACAATCCAGACGATGCTCCTGCTGCAATGACACTATGAATACCAACCCATTTCTCAAGAATACCCCCCAAATTAAGTTTTTCTCTGTTTCCAAGGTGCCCCCCACCCCCCATATCACGACTGAAGCAGTCATTGAGAACGTCCCTTTTCCCATAACCAAATAGACTTTCCCCAGGGCCTGGAAGCTCGGCAGGGGGTAAATAACTCCTCCTCCTCAGGCTCAGTCCCAAGGCACAAGGCCACTGACGCCAGCAGCGTGCGTCAGCAAGATAGCAGAAGCAGGAAGAGAGCTGGCTGGAAGACACATACCCCGTGAAGACCGAGAGAGAAGCCATCCGGGTACTGCGTAGCAGTTACATCAGACTGAGACACTTCCTGTTAGGAGACTATAAAGCCCCTGCCCTGTCCTCATTTGATGCTGATGCCATTTTAGGCCTCAGCCCGTCTGCACCCAGGCGCTCATTAAAACAGTGTGTTGCTCCACCACCTCGTGTTGTCTGTTGGCGCGCTCTCGGGGTTCGAATCGATACAAGAGCCTTGCAAAAATAATCTGTACAACAAACCCCTGTGACACAACTTTACCAATATAACAAACCTGCACACGCACCCCTGAACCTAAAATAAAAGTTAAAAAAAAAAAAAAAACCTCTCAATTTTGAAATCCTCCCATTCTCCTGGCTTATAGGGCTTTTACATCTGTAATCACTTTAATGATCCTAAGGGACTGTATTCTGTCTTGGCTTCTCCTGTCTTCTTTGCTTAGGAGATTTCCATCTCTCCCTTCATTCTGACACCTAAATTCCAGAAGATTTCATATTTACATTTCTGCTCTGCTTTGCCTGCTCAAGACATGTATACCCAACTTTTTTCTAAAACATCTCCACTTAAATGCTCAACTACCTCCAACTTAAATGATCTGATCTACCTCTCTCTTCTCCGTCTCACTGTCCCTCTGCTGTCTGTATTTTCCCTCAATTGATGGTATCTCATGTGTCGCCTCTCCACTTCATCTGCATGCCATGGTCCTCCTTGTCTCATGTCTGAATTACTGTGATAGATTTCTGACTGCTCTCTCTGCCTGTATCCTGGTCTTCCCTTCATCAGTCATCAATGTCCTGCTGGAATGCTTGCTAAAACCAAAATCAAATCATGAATCTCTCCTCCCAGCCCTTTGGCATCTGCATTAAGTCCTAATCAGGGTACAAAAAGCCCCTCACAATCTTACCATTGCTGCCTTCTCCACTTTCTCAGGCACTCACCTCCATTATCCTCCTCTCACCCTCCAGCAACATCGTTCTAAACATGCCATTCAGTTTCATCACTATGTGACTTTGTGCCCCAACTCCACTGCCTGAAATGCCTCTCAAAGCCCAGAGTAGGTGTCACCTCTTCCACAAAGACTTCCCAGTGAGGGGTTGGGGACGATGGATAATCACTCCCTTCTCTTTCCTGCCTGTGAATTATTCGTATACTTAGACTCTTGGCTTATCCCTCTGCACTGTTAATATTTGTTGATATATCTGTCTCTCTCTTGGACTCTGAACTCCTTGGGGGTAGAGTGTAGGCATTTATCTTTGTATTCCCTTATACTGTGCCTGTAATATGGCAAATGAATTGAGTTAAATTTAACTAAAGACAAGAAATATTCTGCATAGTGCCCAAGGCTGTGGAGGCCTGTTGGTTAACTTACCTGCCTTCTGCACAGGATATGAGCAATTTAAGGTATGGAACTGTTTTTTTTTTTTTTTCTCCAGCACCTATCACAGTGCCTTGTACATAAGAAGCACACAAGTAAATACTTTGGCCAAATAAATGTGTCTTGTCTTAGGGTAATAGACTGCCCCCACCCTGTGGCTGTTTTAAAAGTCTGTGGTTTGGTCACTACATAAGAACATGTAAATGAATAATTTCATATCAGCAAAAAAACATGGCCAGGCGCAGTGGCTCACACCTGTAATCTCAGCACTTCCAGAGGCTGAGACGGGCGGATCACCTGAGGTTGGGAGTTTGAGGCCAACTTGGAGAAACTTCGTCTCTACTAAAAATACAAAATTAGTTGGCCGTAGTGGCACATGCCTGTAATCCCAGCTACTCAGGATGCTGAGGCAGGAGAATAACTTGAACCCGGGAGGCGGAGTTTGCGGTGAGCTGAGATCACGCCATTGCACTCCAGCCTGGGCAACAAGAGCGAAACTCCGTCTCAAAAAACAAACAAACAAACAAACAAACAAATATATAGGGAGTCTAGCCAGCCCCCTTCTCTGGAACTCTAGCGGTGAGTGACCAAATCTACACGGATGCTGTTGCATCTTCTTCCCCACAAGTTGTGAGTCCCAGCTGATTCAGCAAGGAATAAACAAGGGTAGGATATGTGTGGGTGGGGCACCGAGGTGGGGAGTTCTCCTCTGGGTCTCTGAACTGGAAGATCAGGAAGCTCTAATCACGGGTGGCAGAGAGAGCAAAGAGTAATGCAGGCATTGGAAAGAGAGAGAAAGAACATGGCGGGCAGGGAGAGAGAAAAAGAAGGAGAGGGTGAAGGAGAAGGAGGAAGAGAGAGAAACAGACAGAGAAGAGATGAGGGACAGAGAGAGAAAAAATTAGAGAGAAAGAAAGAGAGGCTCTCTGGGGTCAGATTCCAGGCTTTACTGAGATGTAGTTGTGCTTTCAGACTTCAGGTTTCACGAGCTACCCTGTGTCCCGCTGAAGAATTCCCTCCTACTTTGGCTTCTATCTATAGAGCAGTCAGAGTGGTTTTTTAAAAAGTAAAATCTGGTAATGACCATACTGGTCACCTTTCAGTCTCTCCAACCTGCCATGTCTCCTGGCTACAGAACCTTGGCTTGTGATGTCTCCTTCACCTAGAAGAGCGGCACCCACTAGCACTCCAGCGCCAACAGCTCTCTTATAACACACAGTGGTAACTTCATAATTACTGATATGATCCATTCATTGTCTGTCTGCTCAAAAATGTCTTCTTTGTAGTTACCCAGCAATGTCGCTCAAATGCTTAGCACAGTGCCAAACACACAGCACACACATAATTGTTTGTTGAAGGAAGAAAGAAATACAATATTAAAGTTGCTGATTATGTTGTGGTTTGAGACTACTTTGGCTCATCTTATTATTTTAGTTCTCTCATCAGTTATTTGTTCTTCTGGGTTAATGAGCATCTCCTGCTCCAGGCATGTCATTATTCTCATCCGAGGCCGGGTCAAGCCCTCCTGGTGGTCTCTGTGGTGCTCAGAACACTGGGCACAAACAGGCTTCAGGACGTGAGGAGAAAGATGGGAAGGGGAGAGGCACCAAACCAAGCCCTTTGGAAAGAAAGAGAAGAGGAGGGGAGGGGAGGGGAGGGAAGGGAGGGGAGCGGAGGGAAGGGAGGGGAGCGGAGGGGAGGGGAGGGGAGGGAGGAGAGAGGGAGGGAGGGATTGGGGAGGGAGAAAACTATTAAACACTATAATAAATTTACAATTAGATAATTAAATAAGCACATGCTTCCCCAAGGAAATTTAAATCCCCTTTCCATTGGCATGCCAAAAAAGAGGTGATTTCCTTCTCTTCCTGCCTCACACAGAAATATAGTGTGACTTGTTTTATTCATGGTCTCCTTGGAATTCTAGCCCAACAAAGCTTCTACTCACTTCTCCTAGTCCACCAGCGGGTCCCTGGAAGGCAGAGCCTGCTGCTTCTGTGAAGCCCTCATATTGCTCCATCTGAAAGTGAGAATCAGGAAGAGGGGAAAACAAGGTGTACTTTCCATGCCTTCCTTTAATTTGGCTCTGTGAATTGGCTCAGCATAACTAGCTGAGTTCCCATCTCCCTGTCCCTCACAAAACGAGATTTGTGACTTTTGGGGAATTTTTGCCAAAGTAGTAAAAATTCTTACATTACTAAATCTCTTTTCATCTCAGCACTAAAAGATAATACGTCCAAAGAAAACACTAAAATACCCAAGTGCCTCCCACTGGGATCAAAGAATTTTCCGTTTCCCCAGGAAGATCTTTAAATTTTCTCCCCTGTTAGTCTTCCAGCTCTTTACTCCCAGGAAGAACCACTTTCTCTCCTTACCCTGAACCAAAACCCTTCAGCTTTATTTGTTTACTACCTCTCTGCTTCAGAAAGTTTTCCTTTGATTAGCTTTACACAATTGTGACGATGATGATGATGAGGATGATGATGATGATGTAATCCACTCCACTGTCTAGGTTATCAGTGCTCATTTAATTGGTTTGCAGTTTACTACTTGATATTTATTTATAATATTAATAGTCCTAATTGTGTTCATGTGCTAGTTTCTTTATTCAGTGCCTAAAGTCCTTAAGGAAAAGAATATTTAATTCAATTTTATTCAAAAAGTATTTCCTCCACTGTATGAGTCCCTGGCACATGGGTAAGTGCCTACTGAGTACAGAAAATATAGTAACTGCTGAGGAAAACATTTTTAAAATAGATGTGACACCATCTCTGCCTTGGATATGTTTATAGCTCTTTAGGAAACAAATCAAAAACATATATATGTTTTATATAGATTCACATATATTCATAAATTCATATATATACATATGTTCATATATATGATTTTATATATTCATACATATTCATATATATACATATATTCATATAAATGTGTTTAAGTCCATTTTCTGTTGCTATAACAGAATATCACAGATTTGGTAATTTATAAAGAAAAGAGATTTATTTGGTTCATGATTCTGGAGTCTGGGAAGTCCAAGGGCATGGTGCTGGCATCTGCTTGGCCATCTGGTGAGGGCCCTGTTGCTGTGTCATAACATGGCAGAAGGGCATCACATGGCAAGGAAGAAAGAGGGCAAAAGTGTGCAAGACAGAGAGAAAACAGGGACCAAACTTATTCTTTTATCTTCACCCCTTTATCACTCCCCAAGGTAACCAACCCACTTCTGCAATAATGGCATTAATCCCATTCATGAGAACAGAACCCTGATGGCCTAATCATCTTTAAAGACCCCATCTCTCAGTACTGTTACAATGGCAACTAAGTTTCCAACACGTGAACATGTGTCCTTTTGTAGGACACCTAGCAATATGCTTTTTATTACACTCATATACAACCACAGAAATAGTTCAGATTATTATAGTTGATTTGCAAACATATATATTAATGTATAAGATACAAAAATATCTGTATAACTATAATGTAAAGTGTAAGGACTGAAATATCTGTATAAATAACTATAATGTAAAGTGTAAGGACTGTAGAGGGAGTTGGGAAACCTTCCCAGAGGCCATACTTGAGGTAGACATAGGCAGATAAAGAATTTTCCATGAAGAGGAGGAGACATTTCTTACTAAATGAGAGAAGAACTATACAAAAGATACTAGGTGACATAAAATACTTGAGATTCTGGGAAAGGGGAGGAGTTAGGCATTATTGATGTGAGGATGCACATCAGGGAAGGAAAGCTATGAGATGGGTCTAGACAGATAGGACAGGATGTATTTGTTTGTGTTTTGTCCTACAGGCAATGAGAGCCTTGGAAGGCTTCCCAGCAGAGGTAAGAAGAGACAGAGAATATGCATTTCAGAAAGATCTTCCCAGGTAGCAGTTGGAGAGTGATTGGAAGTAGTGTTTTGTGAAACTGTAGAGCAGTCAGGTGATTGCCAGAGTCTAGGTGGCCAACAATAACCTGAATGAAGGTGGTGGCAATGGGAGAAGTGGGAAGAGAAGGAAGGTACATCTCAGAGGAGGCTTGAGGACTGGTGGGATGTGGCAGGGAATTGCAAGGAGGAGTTGAGAGTGGGCCTTCTTGAAGCAGTGTACAGCCTGCTTGGTGACAGAATTCCTTAATCTAGTAGCACCTTGGGTAACTGAGTTTCTGTACCTAGTAATGTAATGTTTCTGTACCTGGGTGGCATCCCAGTTTTGTGAAACCTGAAGCAATCAATCTGAAAGCCCTCTTAGAAAAAAAATACAAAATGGGTATAAAAGTGAATACACATGTAGAGTAAGAGAAGAAATCACAACAAATTACAAACAATGAAAAGCTGAAAAATAATATAAATATTGGAAATGTCATAATTTTATTATAACTTTATTAACTAACGGCCTGACATATCTCTAAAATACATTTTCCCTGCATATTTTCTCTGTATACTTTTTGTAAATTGAGATAAAAGTCATATAATACAAAGGCCACCATTTCAAAATGTACAGTTCCATGGTTCCATGGTTTTTATGTCACACAACCACTACTTAATTGCAAAACATTTCCATCATCCTAAAAGAAATTCTGTCCCTATCAGCTGTCAGTCCCACTTCTCCCCTCCCCCATTCCCTGTAACTACTAATCTATTTTCTATTTCTATGGATTTGCCTGTTCTGGACATTTCATATAAATTGTATTAAGTAATATGGTGTCCCTTTGTGTCTGGTTTTTTTTTTTACTCAGCATAATGTTTTCAAGGTTCATTTATGTTGTCATTTGTAACAGTACTTGATCCTTTATGTAAAACATTTGAGGTAAAATTCACATAATATAAAAGTATTCATTTAAAGTGAACAGGTCATTTGTATGTTCTCAATGTTGTGCAACCACCACCTCTATCAAGTTTCAGAACATCCTTATCTCCCCAAAAGGAAACCCAATACCTATTAAGCAGCTATTCTCAATGTCTTCCTTCCCAGCACCTGGTAACCACCAATCTACTCTCTATTTCTATGGATTCACCTAGTCTAGATCTTTCACACCAATTGAATCATACAAGATGTTACCTTCTGTGTTACGCTTCACTTTGTGTAATGTTTTTGAGGTTCATACACATCGTAGCATGTATTGGTACCTCACTGCTTTTTATGGCTAAATAATACTCCATTGTATGAATATACCACACTTTGTTTATCCATTCATCTGTTGATGGACATTTGGGGTTTTTCTGCCCTTTGACTATTATGAAGAGTGCTACTATGAACATGTGTCTACACATAGATTTTTGGAGTACCTGATTTCAATCATTTGGTGTATATATCTAGGAGAGGAATTGCTGGATCATATGATAATTTAATGTTTAACTATTTGAGGAATTGCCAAACTGTTTTCAAAAGCAGCTACACCATTTTATATTTTTATGTGAATGCGCAAGATTTCCAATGTCCCCAAATCCTACCAACACTTGTTTTCTCTTTTTTTTTTTTTTCATTATTAGGTGTGAAGTGGCATCTCATGTCATTTTGATTTATATTTTCCTATAAGGAAGGGCATCTTTATATGTACTGGTTGGCCACTTGTGTGTGTGTGTGTATATACATATACATGTGTATGTGTGTGTGTGTATATATATATTAGCACTGTGTATATGTGTGTGTGTGTGTGTATATATATACACACATATACAAGTACATACATGTGTATATGTTTATTTGAAGAAATACCCTTTCAATCCTTTGCCCATCTTTAAATTGAAGTACTTGCCTTTTTTGTTATTGAGTTGTAAGAGATCTTTATACATATTGGATATTAGACCCTTATCAGATACATAATTTGCAAATATTTTCTCCCATTATGTAAGTTATCTCTTTAATTTCTTGATAGTATCTTTTGACACTATCAAGTCTTCTGTTTCCTTACTGATCTGTTTGCTCTATCCATTATTGAAAATTGGATATTGAAATCTCCTACAGTTATCATTAATTGGCTATTACTTCCTTCAGTTATGTTAGTTTTTGTTTGGTGTTTTGGGGCTCTATTTTTAGATGTATGTGGGTTTATAATTGTCATATCTTCTCAAGGGACTGAGCCTTTTATTATTATATGGTGCCTTCTTTGTCTCTAGTAGCATTTTTGCACTAAAATCTATTTTGTCTGATACTAATATAGCTACTCCAGCTGTCTTTTGGTTATGTTTTGTATGAAATATCTTTTTCAGTCTTTTGCTTTCAACCAATTTGTATCTCTAAATCTAAAATGAGTCTCTTATAGACAACATAGAGTTGGATCATGTTTTTTCATATATCTTACCAATCTCTGCCGTTTAATTAGAGGGTTTAATCCATTTAAATTTAACATAACTACTGATAAGGAAGGACTTCTGCTTTTTGCTATTTGTTTCTTATATGTCTTATATCCTTTTTATTCCTTAATTCTTCCATTACTGCTCTCTTTTATGTTAAGTGGATATTTTCTACTGTGCCATTTAAATTCCTTTGTCATTTCTTCGACTATATTTTTGAGTTATTTTCCTAGTGGCTGCCTGGCAATTATAATTAATCTCTTAATTTATAACAATTTAGTTTAGATTAATACCAACTTAATTTCAGTATATCAAATCTTTGCTTCTCCATAGCTCCATTCTCCCCACCCACCCCCATGCTATGCTGTTATTGTTACAAATTGTATTCGTATACATTGTGTGTCCATCAACATAGATTTATAAATACTGCTTTATGCAGTCAAATCAGAATGGGCAGAAAAAAGTGTTACAAAAAATTAAACGTATTTTATATTTCCTTGTATAGTTATCTTTACCAGAGATCTTTAGTTCTTCATATGGCTTTTAGTTACCATCTAGTGTTCTTTTATTTCAGCCAGAAATACTTTCTTTAGCACTTGTTGGAGGGTAGGTCTATTAGCAACAAACTCTCAGTTTTTTTTTATCTGGGAATGTCTTCATTTATTTTTATTTTTGAAGGATACTTTTGCCAGATATAGAATTCTTCGCTGACTCTTTTTTACTTTGA